CTCTCTCTCTCTCATCTAGTATTTTTCCTCTCATCTCTCTTCATGAAAAAAATAAAAAAAATATCATCGGACCAAAATCAATCACACAAGTGAACCTGTCAAGTAATATACAGTCTAACAGTTCAAGTATCGATCACACAGGGATATTGCCAAAATATTTCTGATTGACAAAATTCTACTTTACCGAACTGCTAGATGTAGTTTGAAATGATCAATTTGTCCATGTAAAAGTGTTTAATTCCTAAATCAGAAAGAAGAATGCGAACTACGTTTGTGAAGTTTTTTTTAGATGTGCAAGATTCATACTCCTGTGACACACCCATGCTATTGTTGATAACCAGAGATTTAATTTTTCTCCTTAAAGCCTATGTTTAGGTCAGAAGAAGAACTAGAAACATATAAACTTATGTTTCGCTTAACTAATGACATTTCCCATGATTCTTCAGATCCTTTATCCAGGTTGCAAAATCCTACAGAATATGTCTATTATACTAGATTTTTGTGGTAAACCTACTCATTCCACTTCGTGACGGGAAAAAAGTCATAGTTCACGAGGGATTTTAATAATCTTATTGCGTTCAATAAAAAATGAATTATAGTTGAAAAGTTAATGCATCGGCATTAGAATTTCATACATAAAAAAAGTCGTTAAGGAAATGAAAATCCACAGCATGAAAACCACAAGAAATCCACATGTCAATTGTCACAAGAGCATGAAAGGAAATCAACTACAATGCATGAAAAGAGAAAATACAAGATTTTTCATTGCAAACATAAAAAGAAAACAACATAAGAAGAACAAAAAACTCAAACTCGAGCTAATTGGTCATTGCAATCCGTCGTGATACACTTCATTTAATGCAAACTCTCAAACATCTATCCATATAAACTTGCACTCAATTTCTCCTCCCAAATTATTTCAACTCTCACAAGTAACTCCACATGAAAAGACAGAAATAATAAGAAAATATCCTAGAATTTCTCTCATTCAAGGAAGAACTAGAGAACTTTACAATTGCCTTCAAACCCTCAAATCTGATGTTCCAGAGACTCCAAAACGTTTTTGTGAGACTAATAATCTCTGCAAGTTGTGTCCTAACGTCCTTATATAGATGAGGGCTCAAAAGGGCATGAAATACCTTCCAAATTAGTTTTAGCCTGTCCAACGACATGTCAATGGACAAAACTAGCATGATCACGCCAATCCTAACGTGGATGGATATGTCAAATCCAAGTCTGTGGCAGGGCTGGATTTTTCAAATCCAGGTTTACAGTCACTCTAGATTTGTGATATCCTGGTCAGCAACAAGGTTAAATCTGTGAAATCCAGTTTTCATTCTTTTCCTCCAAATTCACCTCTTTCAATTCCACAAGTAGCGTAACACTTATATCCTACACAAAACTACACAACACAAGAAAATAATTTTCTCAAGCATAATATCATGATAAATAATAGAATTAACATTTTATTAATGCAAAAAAATCACACAAATTTGCCTCACATCAATTTCCCCAAACTTACTCGATACTTTCTCTCAGTTAATCTCATATCTCAATAAAGATTAAAAGGATGTAGGAGTTCTCACGTGTCTTCCTGATTCTTTAATTGAATTATAAAAGTGATATAAAGGGATATGCAAATCTCAATTCAGACTAAGATTTTCATTAATTTCTAATAACCTAGTACTTTCTTTAATTTCCTTTTCCAAACCCTAAGAAAATTTCAAAATTCTTTCTCTAATGTATTTGAAATGTTTTCATTTCTCAAATATAGTTTTAAATCAATTAAGATTCAACTAACCAACCTAAAAGCCCTTGACATTTTTCCTGAATAAAATATTCAAGAATTTCATTAAGATATTTTTAAGTTTTATTACGTACGAGATAAATAATATACCAATTTTCATATTTTTATACTTACCTCAAGCTTCTTCTCATGATGGTTGGTCATTTATTTTTATTTTTTATTTTAAAACAGGCATTTCATAATTCCTTACTTTTTATTCACTTTTTTTTCAATTCCACTAAAAATTAGTATATCTAGTGGATCATATTTATGTTAATAATTTTGAATGCCAATTACCCCTAAATGATAAATCTCAATTCTTCTTAATGTAAAGTTTAAAATATTATAATTCATTCAATAAGTCAAGACTCAATTAAATTTGTTAGATTGAAACTTAAAAGGCTTGAAGTATCTCTGGTTGATTACTAATACCTTAATTATACATTTTATATTATTTTGAACATCTTAAGATTCAAATCAATGTTATTAAAGTATGAAATTTGTTATCAGATCATTAATTTCAATCTCACACTTTAATGAGTATTCACATTTCAAGTGAAGTAATACTCGTTTGTGAGAGAGTCCGCGTATCATTCCCACGAGGATAGTGCCAAAATATTTTTAACTTGAAAAGTTCTAGTTTACTGAGTCACTATCAATAAACAGATAGACTAGCCATCATTGAGTTTATCGATAAATTTGGGCAAAGCAAACAATGCAATGACTTGAAATGTAGATAAAACTATCAAGCACAAACAATAAAAACAATAAAAAAACAAAAAACAACAAGTGGATAACCAATCCTAGACCTATGGCAGACTCATTAGTCAACTATGTCATCTAAATATAGTTGTTTGTTCTTTGGTGATTGAAGTTCATCCTCGATGTTCATGCTATAAATTGTTCATCCTCTATTTTGGATAGTTGACCAACCTATCAGATGCCCTAGTGTTTTTGGATGAAATATTTAAAATGTAAAATATGTTTTATAGATTTTATGACTTGAGTTTTACCACAATTTAGCAATACACATTAGGTATTTTACGCAAGTGTACGTATTATTCAAGTAATATCAAATTTTTGAGTTCAAAGTATCGATCCTACAGGGAATGCTGTTATTTTAATATCTTTAAAAAATTTAGCATATTAAAAAGATTCTTGTCCTGGAAATTAAATTGATTTAAATTATGCTTGTAAATTCTTCCAAAATATCACTAAACCTCTATATTCACTCTAAATTTAACTTTATTAAAGTTAAATAAGTTAAGAAAGATCAAGTGATGAAAATACACTCCCCTTGCAATGAAAGAAGCAATTTGTGTAGGAGTGGAACACTTAGAGTTTATATATTGTAATTTGTGAAAAATAAAAGTATTCGTCTTCTTTACCCTCTTTTGAGTGCATAAATAAGTCTGATTTAAGTAGGTAAGTATTTTTGTCTGTCACCCTAGAAACCTCCAAGTTACCCCCATCAAAACTTATCTCTCTATCTATTTGCACTGCCCTAAGGACTACGTTTCCTTCAGCCAATAGTGTAAGGAGGTTTCTACTAGTCATTAAAGCCATAGCCCTCTCAGATCTTCATGGAATCACAATCGATTTTAACATATCAATTGGTCAGATTGATAAGTAAATGAAACAAGAAGTAAAAATCATCACAATATAAAATAAAAATTTATTGTAAATGTATTCACATGGCTACACATACTGCTAGTTCATCATAAGATGAAGGTACAAAAGATCTACTCACAGTTCATGAAGAAAACACAACAATTCATTATCTTATAATAAAATAAATTCATACACAATGAGTTTATAACTAATATATGGAAACTAAAAATGGAAACTTATCTTTTTCTTTGAGAAATGACGTAAAAACTCCTCCCTGAACGATCAACATGTGTTCCTTGCATTGCTTACTTCAATTCTTTACAATATCCTTTCAATTCTCTCCAAGAAAATGCAGAAAAGTACAAAACCTCACTTTAAACTCTGCTTTCCTGCACACTTAGACTTTTTCCTACGCTTCACAAATGATTCTCTTTCCTGTTAGAACTACTTCTCCCGGGCCGTAACCTCTAATTTCGTGGATAACTACTGCAGAAGCTGCAGAGAGTAATTCTGACGCCTAGGCGTCACTTTTCTCGGGTAAGCTTGGGAAATAACTAGCGCCTAGGCGCCAGTCTGCGGAGCCATAGCGTCACCTTTTCTGGTTTCTGGACACAATCTAGCACCTAGGTAACCATCTGCGACACAATGACAGCATGGAGCAGTGTCAAGGCACCAGAAGCTGGCCCCAACCTGTTGTTTGCTCCATTGCTCCATTTGCCTCCTTTTCGCTCCATTTTTACTCTAATTCACTCCAAATCTCCTACCTTTTATTCCTTCAACAAAAATATGAAAATACCTTCTTTTAAAGTACAATTTCATCAAAATAAGTGTTACATATAAAGGAAAATTTAGCATACTACCATGCTTGTCAATAGTCTTGATGCAAATAGTTGATCAACTATGACAAACATCCAAACTCTAAAAAAAGAAAAGACTCAACAGGAAAGCGAACATTTGTTTACTACAATAGCCTAGGTTTACTACAATGCTCTACAAAAAAGAGTTAACACACCCTACACTTACTATAACACATAAAACGAAGTTAGTAAAACATAATATATAAGTAAAATCCACAATGTACAATGCATACAAAAAAACTATTTACTCATCATAAACATCCAATCTAGTTAGGAAAATTCATCATAACCCAACATTTTTAACGAGCAAATAAAACAAATATAAAACACAAAGCACACCAAAACACGACGATCTCACCTTAACCAAATTCTAAAAAATAGGATTAGTGTTCAAGGGAGCCTAAAGGTAGCGAATACATGAAACGAGAGGGAGCCAAACTAGGCATTATTATTCAAATTACAAATTTTGATTATTTTTATTCAAATTTACCTAGAAAAAGATTCATTTTAAATCTATAAATAAACTCTTGTTGTCAACCTTTCCATTCCAAAAATACATTTATGCATTTGAATTGATATTATCCCGCCATCAATATTGTATTTTGAACATTTTCTTAAAATTTTCTAATTAAATTTAAATTATTTTAATTTAAAATATATTTCATAATTTTGAAATCTATCTTAACTAAAAAAATTGATGATATCCTTCTCCGGCTGGCGGCGAACAGCAACACTCCGGGTGCTGCTGGTGGTGCACCGGATACAACCAGTATCGCACCTGCTCCCACCGGCATCTGCCAGTCCCAAACTTTAAATCATTCCACCACCTCTTTCACCCCTGTTCGCCCAGCTCTGGATTATTCCCCCGGACTTCTTCTCTCCTTCCGCTTCTTCTATCTTTTTCTCCTTCTTCCCGTTTCCAATCATCTCTACAGATCACTCTGTCGTCAGATCTCTCCTCAGATAATGTTCGGTTTTCTTTGAGATTAGACTCTACTTACCGCAGTAGACCATCTCTCGTTTTTCGTGTTTCAGGGCTGAATTTCGCTAGGGTTTTGCTGCGGTCTTCAGCTCATAAACGTGGCTTCAACGGAGAACAAGCGAATTCAGAACTTGATGTTAGAGCCGCGTTCTTGTTTTGACAATGTTATCATAGATCTCAGCTTTTTCAAGATGGAGAGCAAATAAACCCTAGGCTACTTGGAGACGGCGAAAAATCTGCTATCTAGTGGTTTTAATAACTTGAGAAGAAGAGGAATTAGAAGGCCAGCACTTGGCTTTTATCAGATAAAGTTTCCGGTTTTTTCGCTATGTCTGGAGCACCCAAGGTCCGATCCATGAATGTGGCAGATTCAGAAACTAGACCAGTTCTTGGACCCGCTGGAAATAAGGCGAGGTCTACAGCGGCTGTGGCTCGGAAGCCAGCTTTGAAACCACTGAGAAAAATGGAAGGGGATGAGTCTTTGGTGAAAGAAGATAAAAAAGAGGCTCCTTTGGTTGTAGATTCTCATCCTCTCACGCCGCAAATGAGTGCTTCTACTGTTCTGAAGAGACAAGAACTACTGCTGCGCTCTAATTTTTCACTGAATGCTTCTTGCTCTTCGGATGCATCAACAGATTCATTTTGCAGTAGAGCTTCAACTGGGAGAATAGGAAGGGGGGGCTTTTCTGGCAGGAGAAAGCAGAGTGTTTCAAAGCCCGAGAAGATTATGGCGAAAATGGAGAAGATTGTACCTGATGATGCTGTTGTGCGGGCAGGGGAGAACTTGTTTGGGAAGAAGAGGTGTGCTTGGGTAACGCCAAATAGTGGTTTGTGACATTTTTATCTCTCGCTCTTCCTCTGTAAATGCTGGTATTTTAATGTGCTACTTTTGCCATGCCATCTTTTAGGTAATGCACATCTTATGCATTCTATCATGCCATTAAAATGGACTTAAAGTACTTATGAAAATATTAACTTTCTGTTTCTATTTTATTCAGCAATTTTAGGAGAGAAGTTATTCTGTAATTGGTGTGAGATGTGTATTTGATTCTTTTGTCCAGCTCTAGTTATGTTTGGAACCTGACTTGGAATGGAGAAGTAAAGAAGATGTATTTTATTTTTATTTGTATATAATTATTTGAGTTGGTCAATGCCTTTGGTCTGCATTTGTTCGATCATGAGTTTGTCTCCCCAAAAACATAACCATTTGAGTCAATATTTTGAAGATGATCTTCTTTTTCCGAAAATGTGTTTCATTTCGTGAATTTAAAAACTGCATTTTTATAATGATTGGGTTTGTTGGTGTGTTTGCTCGTGGTTAATGTGAGTGCAATTATTTCAGAGGAATTCTTTTTTTTTTTGTGGTTTTTCTTAAAAGTTTTGAGCTTTGGGTTGCACTATAAATGTTTGAAAATCTTTCAGTGAGATACTTTATAATATAATTTAAAAGTTTATAATATTGATTTGATATAGATAATTAACTCTATACCACTCATTTGCCTGCATAAGGATAAGGAGATACAAAAAATGGGATATTTGCTTTTTAGGATTTGCTTTGGTCCTTTGGTATTTAATATCACAAGATTTTTCATTAGAAATAGTTAGAGCCTACCATGCAAGGTACGATTTTTCTGAATATAATCTGATTATGAACGCCATTTCTGACAACTTAGGCGATTATACACATAATGATATTATGGATTAAGCATTTATTGTCTCTTTTTAACTAAGTATTTTACCAAACCCTTTATGGTCCCTATTGGATATGGGCTTATATACGGATTAGGATTAAAGGGGATACAACATATGATGCTATGTTCGTGAACAATCCAATATTAATTTATGTAAGATTCTCAATGTTTTAATAACTGCATATTCCTCTGTTGTGGATGAACAAGGGTCATAAATTTTAATGCTTTCATGTATGTTACAGGTTTTACTTTTTAACACATTTACATCAAATAGATTTGTATAATTGTCATTTTGCATCATTCCTGTTCTTGTCGTGCCATATATCGTCTCGATGCTTTATAGACTGCAGGACATACATAATAGGATTAGGTGTTTTGAGGTCCTATGTTTTGTGATGTGCCTTGTTGTAATTATGAATGATGAAAGAACATAACCCAAGTAAGAAATAAAGCAAATCTGAACCCATGAAAGAGTTATTTCAGATGCTGATTTATTTCTTTCTTACAGATCCAGCTTATGTTGCATTTCATGATGACGAATGGGGTGTTCCTGTTTATGATGATAGGTAAGCCATCTTAACCGTAACCCTCTCTGAAAGATTTTCCAATTCCTAATGATCTAATTACTGTACAGGAGGCTTTTTGAATTGCTTGTTCTATCAGGTGCTTTAGCAGAACTCACTTGGCCTGCGATTCTTAGCAGAAGGCACATATTTCGGTAAACTATTGTGTTAAATACTGTAATAAAAGTTTGCATCAGCTTTAGTTGCTCTCTAAGCAGTTTTTCACGTATTTACAGAGAAGTTTTCATGGATTTTGACCCATTGTTGGTTTCTAAAATCAATGAGAAGAAGCTTACTGCTCCGGGGAGTTCTGCAAGTTCGCTGCTTTCTGAACCGAAATTGCGTGGTGTTGTGGAAAATGCGCGAGTAATTCTCAAGGTTCGCGCTCATTCCTCATTCTCAATTCTTTTTTAGGCTTTGGTAGTACATTGTTTTCTTTTGATAGATATTAGAAAAGCTATTTCTAGGACTAAAGATTATTATTGGAGCTTAGCTGAACTTTAAACTCTTTGTAGTTCTCTTTCTGCTTTGACAGCCAACTGCGGTCCAGGTTCTATATAGTTTTATCAGAAGTGTGTTTATTGATTTATATAATTTTGCATTAGCCAATTGGTTTTATACTTTATATTTTTTAATCCAAAATTTCACTAAAATCTTCTTAACAAAATCACCCGTCTTGGTAATATTCAGTTGCATATAAGCCTCTGTTCATATGTAATCCTATGTAATTTAGTATTAAAATACTTCTTTTCATGTTACACCACAAGTTTAAAAAAACGTGAAGGTAAAACATAAAAGAGAATGCTTGAGAGATTTATCAGTTTTGTGAATTCAAAAGCATATTTTTATCTATGTTCTTCAACCCTGCCATAAACTTCAAACTACATTATCAATAAATTGAGCGGCTTCATTTACAGCGAACTCTTAATGTTTTCTCCGCCTTGGCTAACCACAGAATCTGTATAATTGCTGTAGATAACAGAGGAGTTCGGATCTTTCAACAATTACTGCTGGAGTTTTGTGAACCAAAAACCAATCACAAGCCGATTCCGATATCCTCGTCAAGTCCCGGTAAAAACTCCGAAGGCGGATTCAATTAGCAAGGACATGGTTCGAAGGGGTTTCCGCTGCGTCGGACCTACAGTCATCTACTCGTTCATGCAAACGGCGGGGATGACAAATGATCACCTAATCAGCTGCTACCGGTTCGACGAATGTCATGCTGTCGCCGCCGCCGTCAATCCGACAGACGAAATTGATTCAAATTACACAAATGGAGAAGCGGCGGAGGCCAAGGTAAATGGGGACGAGAAAGAAGAGAAGAAGGTTGATGGGGAAGCTGATATTGGTATGGAATTTGTTAGGGTTATTGATTCTGTCAGTGTGTCATAGCAGGCATGTGTGGTTGCTTAGAATTTGTATGCATGGGTTAGACCGGCTTTTGTGCCTGGGTTTTTGAGGTATTTTGTTGCAGGGAAGGATGTGGTTATTCTGTTTATAAATGTTGGAATTCTTATGCAATTTTTAAGCTTGTAGATTTTTAACCGGTTTAGTTGATTTGATGGTATGATTACATAGATAGCATACGGTTTAGTTGACTAATTGGATATAGTGCTTCTTATTGGCTGGAAAAATTCTCTCCTGACTACTGGCATAGTTTTATGTGCGGACTTAATAATATGCCATCACCAAGGTTATTTAGGAGTTATTGAACTGAAATTTTAGAGATTATTTTAGGATTATTTTGAGATTATTTTGAGATTATTAAAGAGAAATCTATATGTGTTATTTTAATAACTCAGAAATAACTTTTAAGATTATACTTTAATATTTTTTATAGCATACACATGATGATATATTATTGGGAGAGTAAAGCTGTGTTCAGAGTTCCACTAAAATTAAGCGGGTAATTATGATTTGTTAATCTCAGCCTGCGGTTGGTGGGGGGTTATCAAGCTAATCACATCCAAATTGAAAAAATGGTATCATATTATGTGTCGTCTGGTGATTGGTGAAACATTACTGTCAATATAAAGAAACTTCACATACAGAGAGAGAGAGAGATTCTGCCTTGAGTTATTTAAAACTTCTACTGGCTATTTTTTGCAATATTTTTTACTTTATCCACAAACCAATCTCATAATAGAAGTATTATGTAAATTTCGTAAGTAGCTGTTGCCCAATGATGGCTTATGCTGTCTCTTATATGCATTGAAGGAGCGATTTGCAGAGAACGCATGCGTTCTCCGATCACTGTCGTGCTGAGAGAGCTGTGTGAGCTCTCCGCACAGAATAATTAGACACATTGAAGACATTATTTTAGTGATTTTACATGTACAATTCTAAAATAAATAAATAAAAATTATTAAATCCCATTTTAATGGCTCTAACTAACTAATTAAAAATTTATAAGTCATTATTTAAGATTAGGGCTGTCAAAATGTCTAGTTGTTCGTGAATAGTTCGTGTTCGGCTCATTAAGAATCTCGTGATCGGCTCGTTCGTTAAGTTAACGAGCTGAACACAAACAAAAATTTGTTCGTTCATATTGGTCTCGTTTTGGCTCGAAATACTACTCATTAATTATATACATATATATTGATGAGTAGTATTTAAAAAAAATAACTGATTGTGAGGCTACAAAGATTTATAATCAATTAAAATTATTAATTAAAAAAATAGAATAAAAAATATATTAAATTAAATCTAAATGATATTTTAATATAAACAATAAGAGTTAAATCTTGCCCCAAACCTTAACATCCTACGACTGTGTGATGCAACCCTTAACATCTTACGGCCACGTGATTATGATTGTCAAAACGACTCTTTGTTCGTGAACAGCTCATGTTCGGCTCGCTAAGCAAACGAGCCGGACACGAATATAATTTTTGAGCTCAAAATACAAACAAGCCGAACACGAGCTAAGCCTGAGCTCGCTTATCTTCGATTCGTTTACAACCCTACCTAAAATTTAAATTTCACATAAATAAATTTATGATGCTACACTTGAGCCATTTCCAAAAATAAAAATAGCCTGCAACAACATGAAGTGCAGCCTGCAAGTGTCATGAGTATTACTCTTAATCAGATGTGGTAATACCATAATTGCACTCTTCTGCATGATACCTTCCACTGTGATTTAATTATAGTTTATGCATCGAGGCTGTTGTAAATCATTTAACATAGCAATTTACGTTTTAGCCCTTTGTTTTTTCTTCAGATAGGAGATGCTGCTCATTGTCCAAACAACTTCATTACATGGTAATGTGAGGCCCATAGATACTATAAGATAGATATAGGATGATATAACTTCTACATTTCTTGAATGAATGGTTAAAATAAAATATAATGTCTTATGAGTTTTAATACAGTAGGAAAATATTAGGGGCATTTACATACATAGCCCCACCCAATTTTTATGTAATTATATATATATAACTCCTAAACTTTATTTTTAATATTTATACCGCCCAAATCTTTCGTATCACATAAAAGATACAGCTATTTTAATTTTTAAGTAGTGAATTATTTATTTTCATGAACAGATAAGATAGCATATGTATATAATTAAAGTTTGTGTAGACATGTAAATACATTTGAATTAAGTGATATGTATGTAAATCTTCCAAAATATTATGGAGAATGGGAAAATAAATTTTTTTTTCTAAAATCTTATCAGGTCTCTCTCTCTCTCTCTCTCGTCTCGATGTATATATGTATATATTATATATATATATGCCCCCAGCCTGTTGGTTGACATCCACTCAGGTCAGAGGTTTGAATCCCCTCTGGCACAATTGGTCTCAAGAATGTGGTACTCGAATTATTAGTCAAGTTAGGGGTGGTTGGAGACTCGTATAATATACTCTGATCATTCGTTTAATATATATATATACACTACCGGACACAATATATTTTAGGGGCTTTGAAAAGATTTACTCATAGCCAATTCAAGCATAAACCAAAGTATATTTAAAATGAAAGAAAGCAAGATGCAAGTGAAAAATTCAGCAAAAATAAACCGAACGATAGTTATATTAGAGAAATGATGACATTACCATGAGTTATTGAAAAATAAACTTGAATTGTTTGATTATGAACAACAATGATAAAAAAATGCAATTTCATACTTAGCCGATATTAATGACAAAGGATCATTAAAAAGAGAGAGAGAGATATCTATGATAAAATGAACTAAAAGTCATTTCAAAAGATTTGCACAAGTTTAATATATTCTCATTAATTCAATAAGATAAATTTCAGTGTAGTCAGCCATTTCTATTGATGAAATGCTTCTTAAATTTGAAAAAAAAAACATGAGAAACAAATAAAAATATATTTAAAATCACATAGAACAGATTAATTTGCATAATTCAAAAAAAAATAATTACACTAATTTCATTAATAAAGGCGGCGCAGAAGGTAATTGACTTCAACTTGCTTGGTAAGAGGAATAACCCATTCAGCATAGAGATCAGAAACAACAGCAGGATCTACTTTGTAATTAGTCTCATTTCCAACATTCTTCTCTACAGTTACTTTCTGGCCAAATAACTTGGCCTTCTTCTTCACCCTTTCTATTACTGTTTCTTCCACTGTCTTTGATGTCACCAGTTTTGTCAGAGTTTCAGAATCCTGCATAAATTGTCAGTTTTGGCTTAATTCGAAGTAAAACAGCTGCTTTTGCAGTATTTTGTTTGCTGAATTATTTGTCATTATATATCTTATGTTTTTTTTTTTTAATTATTATGTATTTACTATATATTATACTAATCTTGGAATGATATAAAAAATTGTAACTGAAATATATCTTTTCATGCACGCATTTTGATGTAATTTAAATATTATGATATTATATCAATGAGCAGAAAAGTTTAGGTGTTAGGCATATAAATTTGTCCTGTATAATTTGGCTTCTCTTGGAAAAAGGACAACATGTTTTAGTTTTTATAAATTGGTCTCATAAAATTCCACAATTTATAAATATACTCTTCAAAACATGATAAAACATCTTATAAATCTACTCAGGGATGGTAAAACAATGTAAATTATCTGGATTTGGTTCAACTCAAGTAAATAGCTTGGTTTATAACTTGAAATTTTATAAGCATGAAAAATTAATTGCTTTACTGAAAAGTAAGCCAAATCATAGTACTTTAGAGAGTAAACCTGTGCATGTATTGCAGAAATGTAATCAGAAGGGGCATCTCTGAACTTAACTTCGGCCACAAATCTACCATAATGGATCCTTTTAGAGAGGGCCTGTAAAAATACAAATCCATTTATTAATGACAGCATGATTACATTATAACTGTAAAAGAACGGGTCTAAAGCTGTTGTTATGTTGACTCTACTGCGGCCTAAAGGCTATAGATTGGAGTCACAAAATAATATATTTGTATTAAAATAAGATTAAGACTGCCCATATCAATCTCTCTTTAAAGGAAAAATTATTATGCACGGAGTCTGAATGTAAAATTACATTATGTCTATATCAGGATGCAACAAAAAATATGAGTACAACATTGTACTCTCATTGTATATGTTGCATATACATTATATTTGTTAAACAACATTCAGATGTAATTTTACATCCGAAGTCTGCGCTCAATATTTTCTCCCTCCCAAGACACCAACCCCTACACACACATATGTAAGAGTATTATGCCTGGAGTCCAGACTTAAGCTACGTCCGGACAACGGCTGCAATCCCTTGGAAGAAGCGGAGGAGGAAAAAAAAAACCTCTGGTGCATCGCAGTCATTGTCCAAACACAACCTCAGGAGCTAATATTTTTTCTACACACACTCACAAAACACATGATTCATATATATTTACAGATCAAATTTGATATTTAGTTACATAACACATAATCTTTAACATCATAATTGTAATCAAGCATGCAAATTTTTATACTATGTTGTGAAATTTTATTTAAGTAATTATCAAAGTTTGAGTGTTAGATACTTAAATGCATTAGAAGTAAGAGATTTATCCTGTAGAAAAATTTAAAAATAAAATATTAAGATTATACATAGTTACATGGAACTTCTCTGAAAATTAAGAGTGTTTTTATGATTTTTTATTTTGTTTCTAACCAATTTGTTACATATTCAACCTTATAATCCTACTTTTTATATTTTTTTTATTTTCTTAATTCTGATACAGTGACAGTGTAACTGAAGAAAAAATTGTATTTTCAGAACTTGCCTGCAAACAAATAAGATCTGATGCTGCTGATTGCTGATAGTTTCCATCATCTCCATCTCTGGTTATCAATGGAAGGAGAAAATTGAAGTACATGTCCCATATTGTTCTGCTAACATTAACTCTTGAAGCAGGAAAATACAATATCTATGCAAGGAATCACTGAAATATTAATTTTAACAACCATATATAATGTAAATTCATTGCCGATATTTGTAAGACAGAAGAAGTGATTCATTACTTGAGAAAAATTGAATAATGGAGAAACTGATGATTGAAATGATTGGAGAGCTGGGAAGAAAGGAAGCTCCTCAGGGTTCTGATACCTTCCAAACTGTACATTAATATTAAATATTATCATTAAATATTATTCATAGAAATTGTTCAGACAAATGATATATATATATATAAATATATATATATATATATGTCAAAAAGGTAAAGTATAGGTGTTAGTATGTAACTATATAGGACTTGAGAGGTATGTATGTAAATCTTCCTAAAATTAGTTAATTTGGCCCATTTAGAAATATGAAGCCTCTAATGATGATGGTGTAAGAAAATAAAAAATTTAAGTGTCTTGGATTATCTTGAATAGATTATGTCTTCTTAATGAAAATAAAAAAAATATTGAAGTGAGCTATTATAGACAATATATGATGAGGTTTGAATGTATTTACATCTTCATTTTAAGGAAGATTTACATACATATATACCATTCAATTCTTATAAATCTACATATCTGGCATCTAAACTTCAATTTTAACATATATTATACATTTTGATGTGATACATACAAATAAAAAAAAACTCACCTTGGCTTGAGTAGCTTCTGTCTCCCTGACAAAGGACTCCACAAAAGAACAGTTTTTCAGGCCCAAATAAGAAGAATCATAAGCAGGATAATTGGAGAGATATCTCGCCCTCTCTATCAGACTGAACACTATGAAATCTTCCTGCTCTTCCAATGAAGCTCTCAATGAATCAATGGTGATCGGCCTGTCAGATTTTGAATCTGATGCAGAAATACTGGAACACAATGAAGAAAAAATGAGATAATGGAAGAGAGAGAAAATAATCAGCATAGGAAGAGGATAATTGGTTACAGAGGAAGCCATTAGAGAGAGAGAGAGAGAATACAGGCAGGATTGTGGTGATGAGGAGCTTTAAAAGCTTCACATGATTAATCAGAAAAGCTAAGGTTGCCACTTTTTCCTCTTTATTTATTTATTTATTTATTTTGAAAAGCTAAGATATTTACATTATGAAGGTACGAAATAAAGTTGAAAGTTTGTGAAATATTATTAATAGAGATATTAAATCATTTTTGAAATAAGTGGAACACAGAGGTTTTAATTATATCTTGATGTTCAGATGCCATTTGTGCATTTTTGCTGATTTTTAACATATATATATATATATATATATATATATATATATATAAAAAAAGTCAACTATTGAGGCTTCTTAATCTCCAAACCATTTAAGAAGAGAAAGTCAAAGGTCAAACCTCTCAGGCTGAAGAGCAATTGGGTCTTTTTTAGTTTTTATTTGTAAGATTTGTGAATTTAATGAGTTGATTTTTTTGGTTGAATAATTATAAAAAAAATTAAAGAATGAATTATAAATTTAAATTTTAAGAAGATTTGTGCCTATAACATTAAGTAATGCATATGGATATCTAATTTAATTTTCAGTTAAATAATTGGAAAAATATGTTTGACCAATTTTTTTTTTTTTTTTCCATTCATCGAACATACAGCTTTACTTCACTTCTAGATGATTGACTCCCTATAATTAATTATAGCTTTGAATTATTATTTTAATTAATGAAAATTATTAAGTCAAAAGGATATCAGACAAAAATCAAGGGAATTTTACATACATACCACGCAATTTACTTCTATTTACAATTTAGCACCTACACTTTCATATTTACATTTTATGACACTTTGGTATCATAAACATATCATAAAAAGATGCATTTGAATTTTAGAAAGTAAATAATAATGATATTTTTTATGTGATGTTTGAGATTTGGATGCCATGTACGTAACTATAGAAGTTTAGGTGTGTGTGTGTGCGCGCGCGCTCTTAAAATTAATTTTTCACGATCTAAGAATTTCAACTTGAGAATGTTTAAGTCGGATTTCTGCTTATTTTTATCCTTGGATTTTTTTATAGAAGTTGTGCGCGTTGTCCGTATGGAATAATTTTTCGTTTCACCGAGAGGTTACGCGTAAAGATATTTCTGACGAAAAATATAATCTACTTGAAATTTTCCTAAATTCAAAATTGCAGTTTTAGACTTTGATGCATGCTAGAAAATTCGCGGCGGTAGAGTAATGAATTATCGTCTTAGCGATATAATGATAATTCATTACTCTACCGTCGCGAATTTTCTAGCACTCATCAGACTTGATTTCGATTCGACCCGAACAAATTTTTGAGATAATACAGATTATATTTATATA